AGTTGCAAACAGATGAAGTAGTTATTCTTGTGGCTCCTGGGAAGATTAAGGATTATTGTTGGCTGTTGGGTTGGTTCAGTTTCCCTAGGTGGCTTGGAGACCTGCAAGTAATGGTGCTGCCTTCATTTTACCTGCCGGAACAAATATTCTCATTACCTCTTGGTAAAACTAAAGATGTGTAATGCAGCTAGCACTATTAATGGTTATAACTTATTATTTTTTAGCCGATCTTTTTCATTCTGGTAACTTGCCACATGTGAATTATATTTTAAACAATGACAAAATTGGTTATTCATTATTGTTATGAATTTATCTATTACAAAATGTATACTTTAATTTATCTTTAAACAATTGCAATAGTTCAAATATTTATTTGTTAAATATTGGTTAACCTAATTAGTTATATTTAATTAAGAGATAAGTGATTTACTTACCGAGTGGGTTTGTAAGCCCACGGTAGTACAGTAACCACACCTGCAATACAGTGGGGTTAATGGCACCCAGAAATTGGATCCACATTTTTAATAACACTACCAGCCTTGCTTATTTTTTAATGTAATATGCAGGTATGGAGCTCTGTCTTATTTGCTAAGACTTAGCCCTCTTGTTAGGCCAGAGATTGTAGTGTTGTTCACTATCATGTAGTGGCGTCTTGTGTAGCTACAGACTGCTGCTGTGGCCTCACTCCACTTCTCACTCTTTTATCTATAAATACTGTATATATAGTGACACACATTAGTTCCTTAAACAATGTATCAATGTTTATTTTAGTTTTTAGACCATGCAAAGGTCCACAGGTATCTTAAACAGCTGAAATCACTCGGCTTGAAACCTGTGGGGTGTCTTTACTGGAGACGGTGCTATGTTTTACACTCGTCTCAGTGTCTAAACACTAGTTGAATCATACCAAGGCGGGTATAGTTACCCAATCAGTTTTAAAGATTGATTATTACAATCGTTAAACAAATATTTTTTGATTATATGTATATATTTTAGAGTATTACCATGGTATGCTTATAGCTACAGTATTAGATTTAATTACATATCCTGGTATGGAACCCGTTACAGATGCCTTCCTGGGGTGATGTCTTCAAAATGGTGATCATTTGCTGACTATGAAACTTTCCTGGAAGGGCTTGCCTTTGTTTCATAAATAGTTAGACATGAGCTATGTGCTCTCTTATAGACCATGTTACCAAGACATGTTATACTATATTTTCTGAGGGGAGCCTCTTTCTAGCTCCCTGGAGCTATCAGGCTGATACGTGTTATAGTCTGGGGCATCAGTCAGTTGGAGTTCAGCCTACCGGGGATCACTAGCTAGAACCTGGCCCTCTCAGAGAGGCAAAGGGAGCAATGACCTATGGAAATCTCCATGTATGTGGGGGCATTCCATGTCTGCCATCATCTGGGGTTAAGCACCCAGAAAGGTAGGCATTTCAAAATAGACCCCACATGGTAAGAAAATTGCAACCGAAGACCGAACAGAGAGGCAGAACTCCCACCTACTTAAATTAACAAGCAAATGTCACACTTTGCCGCTAGTCTGTGCAGGAGGGAAAGGGGGAAGCACCGGACTCTCCCCCCCTCGCCGGCTACTCAACAACTTCAGTTTGTTGGCCAATGTGGTCCGGGGCGGACGTTGTCTGGCCTCAGATTCTGGGCAGTTGTGTACCTTAGTGGTGTGTTCTGCTGTGTGTGTGTGGCATGGTGGCCAGGACAAATCCGAGAGTACTGGGGCTGCATGCACTTAGGGTTTTTCATAGGTGCCCTGTAAGTACTACCTTTGGGTTCTAAGGGTTCTCTTTCGTAGAACTTTCGGGAACCGCTTTTGTGGGGGTTTTTGCTGCTTGGCAATTACCCTGCCCTTAGGATCAGCTGGGGTTTTTGTGGCCTTTGTTTGGCTTTGGGTAGGAGGTGGTATCGTTTGCTGGTAGGGGCGCAAGGTACTGCTCAGCTTACCTACCTCCACGGCGGCCAGTTTCTGTTCCTTCTGGGGGCGTTGTCCTTTTGTGGGGTTTTTCTTTTCTTTTTGTTTTCCTTGCCTGGAGGGGGTCTGCCTGATTTGGCTATTGGTCCACTTCTGTTGTTTTGGTGGCCCTCCTCTAGGCCCCTGTGATTGTACATGTTGCAGGGGTTTAGCTTTAGCAGTTTTCCTTGCTAGTTTGGGCCTAGCCAGTTTTGCAGTGCCTTGCCTGGGCTTCACATTGCAGTCAGCCTGCCTACCCTGGAAATCCCCATTGGGGCTTGATGCATCTTCTAAGTTCCACCTCATCTCGTGCGAGTTTGAGGGTTGCTGTGTGCCCTTGTCTCAGGGTGACAGTCACCGTTTTTACCTCCGTCATGCTGCCTGTTGGGTCACCAACACCTTTGACCCAGAGTCTTGCGAGTCATGCTCTCTGCTTGTTCTCCAATTTACCCATTCTGATGACATTGATATTCGAGTACAGGCTGTATCTGTGTTGCATGCTCGGTTTAGGTTGCTGCATCACAGTAGGTTGGTTGTCCACCCGGATGCCCTGAAGCTGTCCCATTTTGGTTATAGGGACCTGGACTTGGGGGCGTTAGTCGCCTCGACTTGGGTTCCGTCCGCGCTCCCTGGTCCTTACCCCTTTGTTCGTCCTGCTCCCCCCCCTCCCTGCTCCCGGCTCCCAAATGTCCTAGGGTTTCAGAGTCGGGGTGGGGTTTTGTTGATAATGAGACTTTGTCACCCAATTTGACCCTGCTTGGGTTGTTTTGGTACTCTCTTTGCGAGGCTTGTTGTTGCAGGGGAAGGGATTTTCTTACCCCCCTTCCCAGTATGAGTATGATTTGGGGTCAGCTCTTCCCTGGGATCCCTTGGGTTCCTCGCCTCCTTTTTTCCAGAGGGTTTCTGCCTCTTGTATCTCGCCTAAGGAGGTTCGGGAGGCACTTGCTGCTTGCTTCCTGCATGACCTGGATTCTGCCTCTGTAATGTAACCGCCCTCGTTTGAGTTCGGTTCTTCTTCCCCCATATTGGGTGCGTTTGGAGGCTCCAGAGTCTTCCTGGCTGGCAGACTGCCCAGTCTTTTTGATTGGGGCATGGCATGGGTGCTGTCATACCTGATTGCTTGAATGGCAAGAAATTTCTACTGTTCTGCAGGTTTACCTGGGGAGGCAACTTTGAGCGCCTTAATGCATGCTTGTTCGCCCCTGTGTTTCCTCGGGATGTTGGCCTTGTGTAGCTGCATGTGCAGGTTCCCACCCTTTCGGAGACTTTGATTGCAGAGGATTGGCGCACCTGTGGGCATTTTTCTTTGGCCGTGCGCTTTTTTCCCTTCTCGAGCTGTCCTTGGACTGGCTTGAGGATGTGGAGGCGTTGAGTGTCGGGCCTTCGTCTTGTGCGCTTCGCTGTTGAAGCTGTTTGTGCTACTTGTCAAGGAGGCAGTGTCCCCTGCTCAATGCTTATTGCCTCGCGTGCTGGCAGGCTGTGCTCGCTCTCTCTTTGGAATCCGCTTGGACCCCTGGCTCTTTGGTTTTCGTCGGCGTTTTGTCCGTTGCTGTTTGCAGAGTTTCTGCAGGTGACTTCGTCTAGTTGTCGTCCTATGTCGGACTTGCTTGTTCTTCGGGGTGGCCGTTTTTGGCCTTCTTGGAAGGGCTGTGCCAGGGTTCAGGGCTGCTGCTGTTGGGGTAGGCCATTGATGCCAGTTTCTGAGCTGGCATCATCTGGTCAGCTCAATGATTGCTCTGTTCATCCGCCAGCTTCTCATAATGGGCATCTGCTCATTTGTTGGGCTCGCGCTGTTTGCTCACGCCTGGGCCCATGGTTCGTGGGCGTTTTGGGTCATATCCTCCGGCCTGTGATGGAGTTGGGCGGCTCCTCTTTCTCCTCGAGGGGGGGTTGCTCCTTTCGGATGACCACTCTGTCTCAGGTCCGGCTTCAAAGCTGTGGGGGCTGGGGGGGCCTGGATGGTGTCCCTGGACCTCAGGGATATGTATTTGGCACGTTCCTATTCATCTGGAGTTCAGGGACTGGTTAGGTTTCGTGGTGGGGCATCAGGCTTACCGCTTTCGTTGCCTTCCCTTTGGCTTGACTCTGGCACATCGCGTGTTCATGCGTGTTCACCTCGACGATTGGTTGGTGTGGGCTCCCAGTCGGTCTGCTCGCCAGGGTGGTTGTTCTTTCCCAGCTCACCAGGTTCGGGTTCCTGGTGAACTGGAAAAAGTCCCATCTGGTTCTGGCTCGGGTTCGGACCTGGCTGGGTCTCATGTGGGACTTGGACCACTTCCTTGTTTCTACCTCTGGAGTCATTGCTGCAGCTGCAGTCTCGCCTTCAGCTATTTCGGGGGGGGTTCCCAGGTCACTCAATGGTTGCTCGAGCAGTTGTGCGGGAGTTTGAACTTCGCTGTGCTGGTTTACCCTCTGGGTCGGGTCTGGCTTCAGTGTCTGTTCTGGTTCCTTTGAGGTCCTCCCTTCCGCCTCTAGTGACACATGGACTAACGATGTGACTGCATGGTGTGATGTTTGCTTCTTTCTTTGGGAATTGAGGGAGTTTTACCTCTCTGGCTTTCGTTTGCATTATTCTTACCTTATGGGGTCTGTTTTGTTACGCCTACCTTTCTGGGTGCCTAACCCTGGTCGAAGGCAGATATGGTTAAACTCCAACCACAGGGGGGTTTCCAGGGCCATTGCTCCCTGTGCATCTCTGAGGGGCCAGGTTCTGGCTTGTGGTCCCCGGTAGGCAGAACTCCATTGACTAAAGCCCTGGTTTAATGTATCGCAAATTAGGCTGATAACTCTAGGGGGGCCTCTGGGGCTCACCCAGTAAATGCCGTTTCATTACATTCAACACTGTTTTTTTTTTTTTCAAAGTACTTTACCTTTCATGAAATAAAATGTCTTGTATTTAAACCTGAAGTACTGTACTGTATACAGCTTATATTTTATGAATATTTTGTATTTAATGTGTTCCTTGCATTAATAGAGGTAATTTATATAATTGACTTAAAAGTAAAGCTAAAATATATATCAAATTTTGCAGGCTCTGGTGACATGCTTGGAGAGTAGGGACTACATTCAGATACGCAACGCAATCCTTATTCTACAAGGGATTATTCAGCGGTTTCCTGCCATTAGCAACCTTGCTGCAGTCATAGAGAAAAGAATAGAAAAGGTAATAGGTGTTTGCACTTTCTTGTGCAACCTGCAAAGGTAGCGATGAGCATTTGTGGTACATGTACATAATGTCCGTGTGTGTATAATCTTGCTGTTGAGAGGTGGAGTTTTATACATCTATAGGGTTATCTTGAGGTTATCTTGAGATGATTTCGGGGCTTTAGTGTCCCCGCGGCCCGGTCCTCGACCAGGCCTCCACCCCCAGGAAGCAGCCCGTGACATCTGACTTAACTCCCAGGTACCTATTTGCTGCTAGGTAACAGGGGCATTCAGGGTGAAAGAAACTTTGCCCATTTGTTTCTGCCTCGTACGGGAATCGAACCCGCGCCACAGAATTACGAGTCCTGCGCTCTCCACCAGGCTACGAGGCCCCCTTACCAAGGGGGGTAACCAAGGATGCCAGTTCAATTCCATTGTATTAAATTTATATGAAACATGGAATTAAAAATCAGCTAATCATAAGATGGAGGAGAATTTTTTGGATTACTGGTAGGTGTGTTCTTGATGGATGAATAATAATTGTTGTGATGGACTGTGTGTATTCTAGTAAATTTGAGGATAGGCACAGAAGGTGACCAAGATGATAGATTTACTTTGTATGTGTGAAAGAAGGAATTTAGAATAAACAATGCATGAGGTGCAGTATATTAAAGCTTACTGGACACAGTTTTTAAGAGGGAATGAGTATTTGATATAAAAAAAATTGATCACACGGAAAGCACTTTCCATGTGTTGCACAAAATGGTGCCGTGTTGATGTGAAGTATTTTGCTGATGTGTGATGGTGCTAATTTATATGATGCTGCACTATTGTTCTCTTATTTCCTCTAAAATGGGGAAATATGCCAATGATAACAATGATAATTATTTATTATTGTTGATTTAGAGGTGACAACAATCTTAAGACTTGGATGCACCCCAATCCTAGGGTCGTTATAAATCATTAATCAACAGCAGCAGATACTTATCATCATCATCATCATCATCATCATTATTATCGTTGCAATATTCCCACTTTTGAGGAGGATAGGGAGATGAGAATTGGCTTGACTTCTTAAGAGGGAGTGGTTATTTAACTTAATTTTAAAATGTATCACTTTAAGTGTAATATTATGCACTGGGGTGCTCTTGTTAGTGTTTTTCTCGAGTGTGGTTGAACTGAACATACACACAATGCTATGATAATATAGAAGTTGAGGTATTTCTTCTGGGCTGTTGGTTTCCTCTCCAAAAATATGCGATGATAATGATGAATTAATTTATAATTAGCATAGACTATATTTAAGGGTAAGAGGAGGATATCACCAGAAGAATTGACAGACATGGTGAGCTGATTGTGAGAGGAAGGTCTAGAAGATGGGAATATATGAATGAGTGTGTGTAATTGTGAGAGGAAACTGTAGATGGGCATACATGAATGTGTGGGTGGGGTAGGAAGCTGGGATTTGATGCCAACAGCACACCAAAATTGATACAGAGTAAGAGTGAGTGGCATCTGTTTTTGGAAAAAGGAGCTAATGTTCAGCATGTTTGTATATGACTAATGAAATTGATTACTGTACATTAAGTCTTGTGAATTAGTGGGCTGCTGCCATAGAGGATTTGTTTGCTTTTGGTGGTGCTGGTTTTCCTTGATGTTTTGTACTGCATAAAATATGGTGAGTGAACACGTGTAATTTGAGTTTATATTTTTCGTCTCATAGCAGGTGCCCTTCTGTCCCTGAAAACAGGAAAGGGGTGTAATTGTGACAACTAAATATATTTATATTTACTTACAATTTTTAAACAAATTTCTCTCCCTAGGTTAAAATGGAAGAGCGTAGCCATCGAAACGATCTTTATGTTCTAGCTAATAGCTACTCGGGCCGACTAAAATCCATCAAACCCAACATCATGCCTGAGACAGAGTTCCACATTGTCCCTAAACGTCCTCAGGCAGCAAAGGTTGTTAATGGAACACCAGAGAACACCAATACCCCTTCAGGAGGTGAAGCAAAACCAAGTGGAGAGTCGATAGAAAATAAGATTGGGAAGGTTGGTATAGTAGTGTATAAGTCCTCTTCATTATCAGCATTAAAATTTGCATACAGCATATAAAATTTGCCTTCAATTTTGTTAGGTAAATTGATCATTTCCAATAAGCATTCATAGTTTGTGTTAAAAAATGTTTAAATTGAGAAGTGGAAGAGTTTCCTCCTTTTTTTAAGTGTTTTTCTTTCTCCTGTGGCTGTAATTCTCCTCCTATTAGCCAGGTAAAATGTAACATGTATAGGATGTTTCTGTAAACAAGATGTCCAAAACACAGTGTATTAGTGGCTTCAGGCGGTGTACTTGCCTATGAATCCAACGATTTACTTGTATATGTCCCTGTAACTTAGAGTGTAGCAAGTCAAAAACTTGCTACACTTCCCATAAGCACTTTGAAAATCAGGCAAGCATAAAGACATACAATAGTTATATACTGGTAATAATTTTTAAATTTTTTTATTAGAAGTTTGGGAAAGATGATTTTGCGGGTGGCATGATACCAGCAGACCCTGGGTGTAGCAAAGACCTGTGGAATGTGGGAACCGACCTGTGAGATTTATATTTATTTAATTTATATGAATTTATATTTACGTTAATTTATATACTTCGATAGCAATTTGTATAATGATAAGTGGACTGTATTTCTGCAATAATCTCTTAATCTCACAAATCGATCCTCTACACATTAGGGGGGTTTATTAAATTAATATATATGCAGCCAATCAAACTACAGTATTAACTACATACATTGAAAAGGTTCCTTATCTTATAGTACAGCAGGTTAGTCCACCAGGTATAACTAGGGTGTAGACACCAAATTATCCTCTTTGAGGTAGCTTCCATATCACCCAGTAACTGGTGCACAAATCTTGCTTCCTCGTCTTGACCTGTCAAAAGTGCGCTAGCTGAGAAGCCAGAATCCTATATATGACAAGCTATATCAGAGAAAACACTATACAGTACATGGAACAATAAAGACCTGGCTTAATTACCTTTAGTATGAGGCGATTTCGCGTTCTAACCGGCTAACCCTACCCAATGACATTAATGGCCACTAATGATAGATAATGGGTTTCGGAAAGAACACTTAACTTGATATGTAGACAGCGTGTTGAAAAATGGTACACCTTTGGTTTCCATAACACTACGTCCAAGTAAATTTAACAGGAGCCGAATTTGCTCCCGTGTGAGCCTCTGGTCTCAATATAAACAACAATGGCTGCCCTCCTTCCTCCACTCTGACGCCTGGCTTACATTGTCCACATGTCAGAAAGTGATAGAAGGGTCACATTTACTCTACTTTAATATTGATAATTAAGTTAATTTATATAAGATGTTTTATGATGGTAAAGTCCAAAGACTAATGTATTTAAGAATAATTCCCAGCAGAATAGCTGGTGAATTATAATAGTATGTGGTGATGATATCCCGTTTTCTGTAGACGGTAATTCCACTACAAGTTACGTTTTCTATGGGTAACTTGTTTATACAATACAGCTATTATCTGTATGATTATTAAATGGTGTCGGATTTTCCGACATGGAAGGAGAGGAATTAAATGAGGTCTGACCACAGCAACAACTACCCTTCTCTTAAAGGGACTTTAAAACTTTGATTGATAATTCAAATTTTGTTAAGTAACTCAAAATTTGAGGAAAGGGGGGGAAAAATACTGAGTATCAGCAAAACGAAGGACTTGAACGCACAAGTACAGAATGAAGAGCAAGATGCCGAAGTTACCAGATAACATTTCTGAATTAGCTCGGATTTCCTTGCAGTTGGTTGCATAACATTACTATTGTTTTGGAAAGACATTATTATAGATGGTTGTGGATGAGATTTTTGCAATAAATCTAAACCATGGTATGAAGTGAACAGTTACAAGCAACAGCAAATTAAACAAAAAAAAAATTGATCAACCCTCAATCTTCAGAGAAAGCCATGTTATGCACACCTCTAGAAGGCATGTTTGAAAACATGAGCCTACATATCCTATCACACCTTCCCTCGTGACTGTTGAGACTTGAGCGTCGGTACATTTTTCCGCACAGGGAATGGGGTGTATTTGCAATATGTGTTTAGGGCACTGCATTCCAGATATAATGGATTGTGCCACTCCACAAAGGAGGTAGTAAAGCAGATGCAAAAAGTTATAGACTAATAGCTCAAACATCACATTTCATAAAAATCTTTGAAAAGAGTGCTAAGAAGTAAGATCACAAAACACACAGAATCAGTTTCTACATTACCCTGAAAAACATGTGTTTAGAACATGGTACTCCTGCCTTTTACTATTGCGAGACCAATATGTCATAACCTTAATTGCCATGGAAGACAAGCAAAACGCTGATGTAATATACAGACTTTGCACAAGCTCTCGACATATGTGACCATGGTATTATTGCACTCAAAATGTGACCAAAGGAATTACTGGCAAAGTAGGAAGATGGATCTGTGATTTCCTGACGAACAGAACCCAGAGTAATAGTCAACACAGTAAAATCCGTATCATCAACTGTGAAAAGTTCAGTCTCCCAAGGTGCTGTTATTGCTCTGGTACTTATTTTCATCTTCATGTCAGACATTAGGATACAAACTAAAGTACTGTATCATCTTCAGTGAATGTCTACTCATGGTTGGTCATGAGTAGAGAGCATAGAGGACACCGCAAATCTCCAATCTTATGTTAATCTTGTCTTTAAATGGCCCACAGAAAATAACGTGTTCAATGAAGATAAGTTCCAGCTACTGTGCTATGGAAAAAACAAAAATGTAAAAATCAGAAACCGCATGTAAAAGGCAGTCAGATCACAGTACTGAAAGAAAATGCAGTATAAAAGATTTGGGAGTAATTATGTCAGAAGACTTTTAAAGAACACATTAAAGTAGCTGTCACATCTGCAAGAAAAATGACAGGTTAGATAATAAGAGATGCAATACCAATGATACTTTTTAACACTTTCCCTGTCTAGTGACACCTAATGCGTCGCCAATTTTTCTCTCGAGTCCTATCTCGTGACATCATTTGCATCCAACAATAAAATATTTGTATAAAATTCAATTTTCATCCGATCGACTTCGGGATGGTTTCAAAATGCGCGCCATTATATTCCCGTTCTCCCCAATAGGCCCACAGGTGCCTCGGCATAGGCACTCGTGTGATCAACCTACTCTGTTGTTGACACCACGAGTGACCACATCGCTCTCCCCTCGCACGCAAGACTTTTGTAGTTTTCGGTATTTATACCAATTCCTGCATGTTTTCAACCCATTACATACATTGCAGTGCATTTTATTGTGAATAATTTGATATCAAAATGAACGATGTAGCACAAAAATTTCTGTTAAACGGGAAATTTCAGTATGTGTTTTTCGGGTGTACTCTATCGGGTTACGCTAGGGCGAATTTGGGCATTGCTGTGGGTGGGGCGCGACCATAGTTGGGAATGTATATGCATATGTCCGTGTAGGGGATTTTATTGTGATCATAGTGATACCAAAATGAACGATGTAGGACAAGTATGGAGTTAACAAACCTGAAAAGATTAGAAACATTTCATTGCTGTTTGGAGCACACGGCTACCGATCGACGTAGTTTTTTATTTGGTGCCGGTCTCACGCATGCTTACTGACATTTTATACATATGTTCTAAAACATTCTATTGCAAACACATAAGGGGGCCTGGTAGCCTGGTGGATAGCGCGCAGGTTTCGTAATTCTGTGGCCCGAGTTCGATTCCCGCACCTGGCAGAAACAAATGGGCAAAGTTTCTTTCACTCTGAATGCCCCCTGTTACCTAGCAGTAAATAGGTACCTGGGAGTTAGTCAGCTGTCACGGGCTGCTTCCTGGGGTGTGTGTGTGGTGTGAAAAAAAAAACAGTAGTTAGTAAACAGTTGATTGACAGTCGAGAGACTGGCCGAAAGAGCAAAGCTCAACTCCCGCAAACACAATTAGGTGAATACATTGATACCAAATTGGAACACGTACATCAAAAAGTAATAATGCCCAGGAAGGTAGTTCTGGCTTTTAGTATTTTTCCCACTGTGGCAAACGATTGCTAAATGTCCCTTAGTGTTGAAAAACAACTGCATAGAATATTTAGGAACTTTGAATATTAAAAAGGCACATTAAATCATTCACATATGAGCATTGTTGGTCTATCATTTGAGAATGACAGAAGCATTTTAAGTGTTAAAGGAAATTTAAAAATTTGTATAAGAAATAAGCAAAAAACTCAAATTATAGTCTTGCATAATTGTTATATTTGTTATTATTAAGTGCAGTAGAACATTGCATTGTGCCGCCTAATTCATCGTGGTCTAGTGGGCAATGCATGCATCTCGGATGACACGGGACAAGATTGAGTTCCAGTTGCTCAAAAAAGATTTCCTCATAGATATATCGTGCACTATGATTTAATTGTGTATTTATTATTAGTAGTACATAATTATAGTTTGTTACTTTACAGAAATGTACAATTTGCACTAAAATTGTTGCCAAAGCCATGTATAATAGGTGTTGTTACTTGTAATGACAGATGATAGTCGCTGACTCTACTAATGGGGATGTGGAGCTCAAGGATGAGAAAGACGACAAGGAGGCCAAGAAGGCAGAGGTATCCAGGTAAATTGCCATGACTGATATTTTGTCTTTGTCTGTGTGAACTTTGAAAAGTATAAGAGTTGGAATATATATATAAATAAATAAATAAATAAATAAATAAATATATATATATATATATATATATATATATATATATATATATATATATATATATATATATATATATTATATATATATAACTGAAAACTCACACCCCAGAAGTGACTCGAACCCATACTCCCACAACTGGTATGTACAGGGACGCCTTAATCCGCTTGACCATCACGACCGGACATAAGGAAGTGATAGCCGAGGCTATTTGAACCACTTCCCCGCCGGCACTCGGATGGTAATCTTGGGCATAGCATTTTATCAAATCACCCCATTCTGAAAACCTGAAAAGTTGTATATAGTCCTGGGGACCATTCAGGCTTGTTTGCATTTGTGTTCCTCACGTGTGCCCCAAAGAATGGGGTGATTTGATAAAATGCTATGCCCAAGATTGCCATCCGAGTGCCGGCGGGGAAGTGGTTCAAATAGCCTGGCTATCACTTCCTTATGTCCGGTCGTGATGGTCAAGCGATTAAGGCGTCCCTGTACATACCAGTTGTGGGAGTATGGGTTCGAGTCACTTCTGGGGTGTGAGTTTTCAGTTGTATATAGTCCTGGGGACCATTCAGGCTGGTTTGCATATATATATATATATATATATATATATATATATATATATATATATATATATATATATATATATATATATATATATATATATATATATATATATATATATATATATATATATATATATATATATATATATATATATATATATATATATATATATATATATATATATATATATATATATATATATATATATATATATATATATATATATATATATATATATAATATATATATATATATATATATATATATATATATATATATATATATATATATATATATATATATATATATATATATATATATATATATATATATATATATATATATATATATATATATATATATATATATATATATATATATATATATATATATATATATATATATATATATTTATTTATTTATTTATTTATTTATTTATTTATTTATTTATTTATTTATTTATTTATTTATTTATTTATTTATTTATTTATTTATTTATTTATTTATTTATTTATTTATTTATTTATTTATTTATTTATTTATTTATTTATTTATTTATTTATTTATTTATTTATTTATTTATTTATTTATTTATTTATTTATTTATTTATTTATTTATTTATTTATTTATTTATTTATTTATTTATTTATTTATTTATTTATTTATTTATTTATTTATTTATTTATTTATTTATTTTTTTTTTTTTTTTTTTTTTTTTTACAAAATTGCAATGCAGAAAGAAGGATGACAGTACCATTGATGCGGTACACATCAGTTGGGAGTTTGAAAGTATGTTACATTTTTGTGAAAGGTTGTGTGTTCTGACTCTTCTGTGTGATCGACTGGCCCATTATTCTAGGACTTTTAAAGAGGATTGGTTTATTGAAGGATATCATGGATGTAAGGAAGCCTTGACAGTATAACATAAGAAAATATTGAGACTAATGTATGGGATTGAACCCTCATACCTGAGTTTGTAGATGCATCACATTATTGTGATTTCCATTGTGTGACAACACATACGGTGTATTAAAATGGCATTATGTGTGTAACATAAAATCGGTAATAGTGAAGGTAATAGCTTAGCGAAGGAGATTTATGAACATAGGTCAGATGCTAGCAGTTTTCTTAACATGGTAAGTCTAATTCTAATATCTTTATTACAGCAAATCTTCTAAGGATAAAAAAGAAACTATAGAGAAAAAAGGTAATGATGATGTAGAAATTAAAAAGGAGGACAAGGAGAAGAAAGAAAAAGAGAAAGACAGAGACAAGAAGGAGGACCGGGAGGAGAAATCGAGGAAGAGATCTAAGGAGTCTAAAAGATCAAAGGTATGAGAATTAAATAATGTTAGTGGATTATTGAGTGATATGTGCAACTTTAATCACCTTTGCTTATATTTCTTCTGTAGTATATTTCTTGTTAACCCACATGAGTCGATTTAATGTATGAGAGAGTGTGTGCAGTAGCCAATAGTCTTCCATTTACCCACATGCAGTCACTCACTCCTCTTTTTTTTTTTTTTTAAATTGTTAAAATTGTTAATTTAATGATGCTGATGTTAGTGTGTCATAGTGTATGTGATGACTGGTGCACTTTGTGATGTTGTTGACTAGCTTATTTATTCTTTGCTTATATACCAGTACTTATCCACCCCACGTACTTGCCTTGTTGTATATGTTGCAATGTAATTAACCTCCTCTGACATTGTGTCCTTGTTCTTAACCACTGTGATGCACCGTGTTTATTGGGACGTTCCCACTATGCGCCAAACATCAAGTGTTCGCAATATTTTTTTTATCTTTATAAAATGATAAATTCCCTTCCTTGAACACGTGCATGCAAAAAAAAATAAATAAATAAATAAATTCCACTTAAGCGCTGCGAGTTGCCACAAATATATTTTCAATTATTTGTTCTATGTATTTCCAATGTAGTTTTATTTATTTTTTATCGCATATGATGCAAATTTGTGTCTTTTACAATATTTATACATTAGAATGCTCATAATGTTCCATGGAACTGTGATACATGTGTCAATAATGTGTCCACAATAAATGTTTATTGTCGCAATATTCCTTGTTCAAAATTTATTAAAATTACCCTATGGACAGTTTCACACACTATTTACACAGTAACACACTGTATTATACACTCAGTACTTTGGGAGTGAGTGATAATCAAGGAAACAGTTCATGATACACAGCGTGACTTTGCTCTTGATGCACCAGGTACAAACACGATTTTCGCTTCCTGGTTTTTTTTTGTGTGTGCTTCCAAATAACACACCCGAGTACTCGTTTGGCTTTTGTTCGCATAGTTGGTATGTAGCCAAGCTTGTGAAGTGTAAGGTAGTCTTGAAAAGATTACTTTGTAAGGTGTTCTGGAAGAGATCCAGCTATTCTTGAAAATATCTATGGAAAACACCACCATGGAAGCTGCTAACACTGTTCATCTATGCTACTTGTATCATATGCATCATCCCTGAACCCAGAAAAAGGATTCATTCATGTATCATCTATAAAAATGTTGGAGATAACACGGGTGAGCATGGATGGATCTCGGCTACAATTGCATATGCTCACTGTATCGTCCTCATCGGTTCTGTATCACTTGCATCCAACCCTTGTGTTAGGTCTTTATTGTGCCTATCTCCATCAATATCATGACCCTTATGTTCTTCAAACAATAAGATCTGAATTTCACTGACGGAAGCTATCTTTCAACATCGCATCCGACAGGTGTTTGGGAGCCAGAGGTGCATGTGCCGCCCTTGGTTGCTCATTCAGAACTGATCCTGCCAGCAGGTCTAGGGAAATCTGGGATTTTTTTCAAGATGGCTGCCTCTCATGGGAGGTCCCAGGAGTCCATTTCGTACCCAACTTGCCACGAATGCGTTTCGACCGTGTACAAAAAATTAAAAAGGGTTTCCTCTGTTGGCGCAGTAATGGGCAAATAAGGTTTCTTGGCCGGCGCAGTGCAGTGGTTAAGGTACTGCAGTTTTGACACATCAACCATAGTAAAAAAATTCTTGTGGGATAGTGAAATAAACAGCACCATAATGACACTGACATAATGGCAAGCAAGGTTTACCTCTAATTGTTTGACCAATGCTTAAAATTCTCCAATAAGTTTGCTTCTATGATGTTACTTGATATTTTGTTCATCAGATCTGTAACCTTATTTACAAACAAATGCTTGATAATTTATTTTTTAAATCTCAACTTATCCAACTGGTGTCCATTGTTGTATGCTAACTTGATCATTTTAGTACCATTTTAACCATTTAAAATGGCAAATGTGGATGCCATGTGCGGGTTTGATCCCATCATATGGCCTCAATATTTTCTCATAGATAAGTCACATTCTTGTGATTTTGTTGTACATAATAGAACTTAAGCATACAAATAAGACAAATTTCCTGCTCGAAATTCTTTTGTCTATCAGTTTTGGTATACTATTCGCATGGTGTTCCAATAGGTTGAGTAATAGTATGGCTATGTTATGAATGCCATTCTTTGTTAAGTATCATCACGTTTGTGTAAATTAAATTAGATAATGCAGAGAATAAATCACTGTGTGGCTGAAAATTAATAAACCAGCTCACACTTATAAAAAGAAGCTAAAGTTATGACCAAAACATCGTCCTTTTTTTTTTTTCTATTCATGTGTGGGATAAGTTATTAAATACCTAATGAAGCCTTCAAGTGAAAAATGTGATTTATTTAAATACTGGCATGATAAGAGTGGTAGCTTGGCTTAGAATCCTTGTTGTTTTGGTTCTCCACTTGTTAGTATTTTGATACACTTGAACAAATTGATTTTAATGAGAAAATATTGATGCCATGTGATAGGATCGAATCTGTATCCCTCGACTTCTTAGGTACAAGCAATACTGATTGGTTGTTTGTGTTCAGGAACACAAGTTCGATCCCATTGCATGGCTTCAATTTTCCTCATAGACATATCATGTGCTTGTATTTTACTGTGAATTTTTTTTCAATTTGTGCAGTATGAGGATGAGGACTTTGGGGAGCCAGAAAGAGATGAGCGAACTTCAGGGGGCAATGCAGAACGGGAACGGGAGAGCAGTGTCACGTCCAACACGTCATCAACCTCAACGAAGATGGAGCCACCTGAAGTTTCTCCAAGAGGTAAGAAGAAAGTATTATTAGGTATCCACATTATTGATACCATTGGCATGACGTTTATATTCTTTATTCCTCGAGAGAGATTTCTCTGCATTGGGTGTTCTTATTACATTACGTTTGCCTGTATACAGTACTCAATCACAGGTTTTGTCAATTTACATAAATTGACAGAACAAAACTACATACTGTATTGTAAAATAATAAGTAGTCTTACAGAATATGGTTGTGGTAGTGCAGAATTTCCTCCACAATCACTTTAACATTTTTTTATTCAATATCTTAAGTTAATATTTTGTTCCCCATTATTTGCAGGGTCAAAGCGACGCAAGACTGAACATAGCTCCAAGGTCAGTATGAGGGTTGTGCGTGACCCATAATAGTATTTACAGTGTTAGTGTTAAGGGCTCAAGTGTTTCAACGAGATGTTGCTGCTGTTCCTGGGAGCTCGGACCTTCTACTGCTGCCACTCTCACTCTGCTGATGCTGTCTGCTGCTGCCTCTATCACCACTCTTATCAGGTGTGCTACCCGTTCCTCCCCCCATCACCTCGGTGAGAGTACCGTATCGTTTCCCGCCACCTTGACCTGCCCGTACATTGTGATGCTGCTCGCTGCACCATGGTCATTCCGCTGCCTTTCTGACAAATGGATTTATGCTCGTATTGGCTTTTATCAGCACATAATAATGTAATAAAACACACTATCACCAGTGAAGAACAACAAAAAATAAGAACTTAATATGGAATTATCCGCTTTGTTATTAGTGAACTCGAACATATGAATTTGGTAACAAATTACTTTTAAATCCCATGAACATAGACAATAATTTGAATCCTCATCCTACCGAATGTTTTATTCAATGTGTTAACCGTGCCTCCATCTTCTGACTCTAGAAGGCCAACTCTTTTGAACAGTGAAGTAATCTTGAAGAAGAAGAAAAAGAGCAAGAACTTCTACAAATTTTCTGGCATTATATCTCATACCAACTCCATTTTACCAGGCTAAATATATTTTGACTTGAGTGGATTAATGAAAATTTAATTGATTCTCCTTGACAGTATTTGCATTAATGCCTGTGTAGCAAATTGCAGCACATTCTTGGATTACTTCATCTCCGGTGTGCCAAAATTGTCCTGCGTGAAATGTTTATGAAAATTTAGCATTAACAAGCAATCTGGATTCCATGAAGTGTTCAGCCTTCACCATCGTTCAACACAAGCTTGCTTATTAGCTGAATTGAAGATTCAAGCAGCAGGATGAATTGTTTGTGTGTGTGTGTGTATGTAGTGTGTGTGTGTGTGTGTGTGTGCGCATGTAATGTATGTATGTGAATGTAGTGTGTGTGTGTGTGTGTGTACATGTAATGCGTGTGCATACATACTTGGAAGGTTTAAGTTTAGGTGTCACTAAGCTTTAGAGAGTTAAATGGGTGCTTTTTAATTTTTTGTAGAAGACATATAATTATGCAAATCATAATTTGTTTTAGATGCCATACGAATAGGTGTCTATTAAGTAAAATTGCATTAATCCTGATGGATATTTGATGTCCTGTATTACTTTAATGATTTAATCATATTCAGTATTTTCCATCACTTTTACAGAATTTTTCTTACTTCTTTTCCTGAGATGTTTGACTTGGGACACTTCTCTGTACCGTTCTTGAGTTATACGTCTGCCAAATGTGTTGCGTTACTATGTAACTCTCCTCTTTGTTTGCATTTATTGCAATAACAATAATTGCTAGTCATTGAACTTGATAGATATACAATATTTTAAACATGCATAGCATTATTATGGAGTAAATGCATATATTACGGCTGACATAATTTGAAACCATAAAATAGCATTTATAAAATTGTTAGTATAGTGAATGAAAGTACTTTTAGTATATATAGTTCATTAACTTAAATATTTGCCTTAAAAATTAATGTTCGCAAAAGGTGTACAATAATGCGGGTTTTGGGGCAACGGGAATGTTTAGCAGGTATTTAAAACATTGTTCAAACAGCACAAAGGTCAGTACATTTGAATATAAACTGTTGATGTTTGTTTGTATTTTGTACCATTATCATGCTGCATGCCTTCATGGATGGCCAAGGCCAACTTTGGACTTGATCATGATCTGGGGTGAATCAAACGGCCCCATCTCTTTTTTAGCGGCCTGCTCCAAGCAGCCCACTCAAAAGTAAATAATTCATGTTGGACTAAGTTATCGCAGGGCAAACCTAGCCCCAGGCCAGGTTAGGGAGTAGCACTCCCAGAACCTACTACAGGTATGCTCCAGGTATACACACATGGTTGTGATATTCATTTGTTTAAAGCTGACACATTTGTTGATAAATAAGTGAAGCATTTGTTAGAAGCTGAACAGTGGGAGGCAGTAAGGAAGAATAGACAGAGCAATACAAGTAAGGGGCGTAAGAATAGAGTACTGTAACTAAAGAAATAATGATCGTTGGTAAGTTAGGGGAAAAGTTTAGAAACTAGGGTAAGGATTCAGCTGGTACTAGAAGACAGTGGTTCGCCTGTTGACATTTGAGAGTTGCACCCTGACCTGTGGTCAGCCTTCCTGCCTCTTGGAGTAAGGTGCACCACAATCCACGCACTTCTCTCCTCCTCTGTCGTGCTAATTTATAATATGATTTTCTCGAATACAAAATGTATAAAGGAATAAATTGATTGATAAAGCTTGAGACGGCCACAGAAAATATGCATGCTCGAACTTGCTATAAATGAAAGTAAAATTGTTTAAGATTGCAAGCTAGAGTTATTAGCTACTCCATTCTTTATCACTAATTCTAATAATGTACAGTATTGGGTTTTGCGTGATGTGTAAAGACATTTATATTCTTTAGCTTAATTTAAAAAAAAAATTTGTGATTGTTAGAAGAGAATCTGAACTGTCTGAAATAAGCCATTAAATAGTTTTTTATTAAATATTAAAAAGCATTTTATTTTTCTCTTAAGAGTATAGGTTTTATAGTCTTAATTGCAGGGATTGTATATAGTGTGAAGTATGATCATAGTACAAAGTAATTAGGTACAAAGTGTGTTAAGAAAAATAAGAGATTATGTGTGTGATTGCAGTATCATACCCATACCCCAAGTAGTAGGATCTTAGGAGGGTTGCCACATGTGGCACATACCCTACACCTTTATCTTCAATATTATGTAGATATCATTCATGGATCTCCTTCCCTCATTGCATTTGGCATGGCAGTAAAAGAAACCAGCCTGTCACTTGTGATGGTCTTAACGATATACAGTATATCTAGCTGCTGATGCAACTCGTATAATGGCATTACATACCTTGTAAGTCTCAGATGTTGATAAAGCAAAGAAGGGTGGATCATTAGTCTCTACCTCTGATGTCAGCTTGGTTGATGCAATACTAAAGCACAATCTCAATTTCAGTGTGTCCACCTAATGTTTTCAATCATGACAACGAAATTGTATGGCTATACAAGACTGCACCACCAGCTATGTCTGCAGTATCAATCAAGAAGTGTGGTCACTAGTTGAGACAAATAGCATGATTGAATTATACTTTAGAAGCTGTGAAAGAAATTAGTTGTGTTGAACAGTTGGAATACTAATACCAAGACTTGCTTAAGGTTAAGAAGTACATCTTAAAAGTGCCGCAGGAAAATTGTTTCCATTTTTATCTAGTATTTAAAACAATCGGTGAGAAAATGACTTATTATAGTTAAAAAATAACATTCTGAAGTCAAGATGTGTAGCTAGGTAAACATTTTCTAGGTAGAAAGTAGTGCAACAAATAATTAGCATTAAATTCAGTCACTAAGAAAAACAGATGATGCAAATTTTTTTTTAGAAATATGAATGCTAATATTTGAATATACAGTAAAAGGATTAACAGTGTTGGCAAAATTTTGGAATGCTTGGTAGTCACAGTATAACTTTTTGCTTATTGAAGGGTTTGTAGGAGATGCATCTTAAGAGTAGTACAGATATATGTGCATGTGGTAGTGTGTGTGTGTGTGTCATGAAATGCAGCGATGTTTTTTTTAAATATTTTGAGCACCAACTCACATTAGTGTGTTCTTGGAGTGTTTATGCGAATCATTTGATTCCATCTGTGATTGTGGTTGTGATATATTTGTGCAGGTGTTTGTGTGATCCCGTACAGTAATGACACTGGTGTCTGGGTGATTTCCAACTTCGAAGGTACTGTATCGTTATTATAATAGTACAGTGTAAGTTATTTCTCAGTTATGTGTAATGTTTCAGGGTACAAAATAATCTGTTCTACATCACATTCATGCATTGTGGAGAAACTGACAACCTCAAAAATTGGCATTTAATTAACTATATCTTTAAACAAATATAAATTAAATTTTAATTTGAGGAACAAGCTTTGAAATTAAAAGTATTATTTTGTGCCTTGTGAAAAAGTGATGTGGTGTGTAAGACAATGACAGTGAAAGAGACAATTTGATCACTTACCTCAGCACTATGATTCTTGTCTTTCATTCAAGATGTACTGTAGTTTCCAAGACTGTTCTGAAGTATTCAATTGATCATCTCGTGAAGAATGGAAAAAATATTATTGACAAATGGCTTCAGTGCTTGCATAGCCAAAATATATTACTGAACTGTGAAAATTGTTAAAAAGTTTTATTTTTTATTTTTTAAATAATGCATTGAAGGGTGCATTATATGAAGTGAGTGATATTGACATGTTTAATTATCTGATGAGTTTTGAATATAGAAAAGCAATTAAAATATCAGTAATTGAAGACACATTTGTAGGAAATAAGATAGAGATAACGTGAGTGTTTTGATTAGACATAGTACCAGTACTGTATAAGAAACGAAGCAAAATCCAAAAGTGCAATAAATCTTCGGTATGAGGTAATGCGAAGGGGCATTGAAACAGCAACCCAGAAAAGAGGATGTATGTGTAAAGAAGGGATTGTGTGAGAGGCAGCAACACGCATCTCTGTAAGAGAGCAGCTGGTGTGTCAAGTGCGTGGCTAAGGTCTTGACTAGCAGTCTAGCAAGCTGTTCACTCCTCGCTTGTGGCAGGCAAGATGAGGCTCAGATCAATCAGGCTCAGAGGTAAGTGATTCTATTTTGTTTTGTGTTTAGTGTATGTTAATTATTATTTACAAATGTTTGCAATATAGTGTTCATGTTCTCCATATATTTCTTTTATATCGTATTTTTTCAAAAGATTAGACAGGTTTATTTTTATAATACTGAAGTTATATTTATTGCTTATAACAGTATATGTGAACTGTTTGTATTTATATCAACATATTTATCATGTTATTGCTACAGGTGTTATTAATCTTCATTAAGTATCAACATCTATGACATTTCCT